TTCAGAGGGGGCGTGGGCCGAGGGCGTGAACCCACCATGAGTTCCGCCCTGGCGAGAGAGCGAGAGAGAGCGAGAGAGAGAGAGAGAGAGAGAGAACACTACTAGTCAGCGGCCTGCTGATCCCCTGGCCGTGACAGAGCCTATCTCAGGGATAAATCAAACTTACCTAATCAAAAGAATTAAACCAAACGACAATGACGGAAGATGAATCTACTAATGTGCTTAAGCTAAACAACACTGATGTTATTTATGTAAAAACATGTGAGGTGATGCAATAATTAATTCTGACTCAGTTCAAACTCATGCAACTTACTGAATGCTCTATCGCATACATATGTTTATATTACACCCAACATTACACCATACATGTTCCTTTAAAAAAGAACAAAGAAGTTACTCTGTCATCCCAACATTCATGCAGCATCCAGAAAAACAACTTGTAACCTTACATGAGCAGGTATCAAAATCCTACCTGGTCTTTGTTCTTGTTTTTGTGTGTGTGTGTGTGTGTGTGAAGCTGATGTTAGAACGAGGGTTGAAAAGCCCATCTTATCTCCTCTCATCTTATCTTTATCCATCCAGTGCTAACTATTGTTCCTTAGAGCACCCATTTTTCCTACCAAAATTTGTACTTATTTAAACACTTCTTTAAATAACAATATCATTCAGATATGCTTAATAGCCTGACACAACAGAAAAATCCAAAGAGTCATAAATCTGCCTGATAGCAGTTGGAAAATGGCTCTTCTACATCCTCCTCGTGTGACAGAAGATGGATTTATAACATTTTCCATGATCACAGTTCTTCCAGGCCTGGTGCAGGGTGTTGTTAGGGTGGTGAGTATCTCTATCTAAATCTAAAAAACTCTCCACCCAGAGCTCAACGTTAATCTTATGACTTTAGACATCAGTAAACCACAACTGAACTGAAAAAATTATTAAAACATAACACTGAGTTTCTGCACACACACAGTCAAGTGTCAGTCTGACATTCTAGACTTCAAAATAAGAAAAATTCAGACTGTTCTAGTAGATTATTTAGTGCTGTCAGTGTCCCTTTTGATGTTTTTTTTTCCTATTTTGTTGTCAATTTGTTTGTTAATTTTAATGTTGGTCTAATAGTTGATTTTGTGGATTCTGTTGATGATGTTCTTGTTGTCAAACAATATTAAAGTTACTAACAGTAAGAAAAGACTTGAAAGTAAGTTGACCTGAGGAGAGTTCATCAAGTCTCTCATCAAGTTGTTTGGCATTAACATCCCAGAAAAATACCCCATCAGCCTTCTTTCACCACGCATCATAAGCACCATGCTGCGCTCTCTCGTCTTACGTCTTTCCAACCTTTTTCTCTCTCCTGCACCAGAAGGTGGCAGTGTTGCACTGAATTTATTTGTTGAGAGATGACAGGGAGAGGCCATGACAGTACATGTATCTCTGTGTGTTACGTGTAATCGTGGTTAATAACACTTAAGTATAAAACTTCCATTGAAAGATATAAAATGAAACTAAAACGAACCATTAACACTGAATTGGTTCTTGGTTTTTGTTACATTTTTAAACCCTTTTTTTTTACATTACAGTTTTCTTACAATTTCTCTTTTTCTCTCTGGTTTTCAGCTTCAATAATGTTTTGGAGTGTGTGGGAGGGACTGAGGCTGGGAGTGGGAGGAGGAGCTTTGCAGCTGAGTCCTGGTTGTAATTTGCTTATAATTTGCCCAGATGTTACTACCTGCCCATCTTAACTGAACAACTTTCTAATGGATGTTTCAAGTTTAGGTGGATCTCCTAACAGCATGTACAGA